GTAGGATAAAATTTAAGTCACAGGATTTATTGAAACTTAAATTTTTATTGGCTAAATATGTAAGTCAAATTTAAAAAAAGAAGCAAAAAAAATTTAATTCAACCACCCTGAATTCAAAGTTGTTGTTTCTTTTTCAAAATTCTTACCATTTGACCCATTTAAACCATTATTTAACAAAGACTTATCATTAGTATTGCAAGCAATTCCCATAAGTTTCCCCCTACCGGTTAGAAAACCCCAGCAGCATTTCTTATGGGCCATTGGCCATTCAATTTTACCAGTGAATGAATGACATGAATGAACTTAAATCTTTTGGTTCATTAAGATGTCTATACACAGTAATTTATTAATCGTGTTTGCCCTCTGCTCCTCCCGAAGACAAAGGATAAATTCTTTTATTACCTTTACTCTCATCAATAACCAATTATTATAAGATGCGGCGCTGGGACTATTTTTGCTTATGCGTAAATCCTATAAGGGAATGAAGAAATTTGGAAGTGAAAAAACCAATTTTCTTCGAAAAAAATTCTAAGTTCAAGGGGATAGGATAATTCCCTTGCGGACAATTCTCTAATCTGTTTGCTCCGTAGACATCGCATTTAACCTTCCAAAAAATGTTGATGGTAATAAGAAACATATATAATGAAGTTTTGATTTTGATACATTTAGGAAATAAAGAATTCATTTTTAAAAAAAGACAACAATTTTTTTTCTTTCATAAAAATTTCTAAGTTCAAGGGGAGGTCATTACTGATAATTTTTGTGCTAGAGTTGTTAAACCTTGTCACATATGATGTGGTTGATGACCAGAAACTTATTATTTAAACGTTTTGAAGTAAACACCTTAAGAAATAAAGGAACTTATAGTGAAAAAGCTTGAAAAATTTAAATGAGAAATCTTGAAATTCAGGCTATTTGTTGCTATAAGCAACCAAAGTTTTCAACATAGGAAGAAAAAAAAAAAAGGGACGTTGGCATAATGTCTTATACTGCCCATCTAATCCATATATCAAGTTTCATAAAAATATTTTCAGTACTTTTTGCGTTATCGCGGGATCCAGTTTTGTGGACGGACTGACGGACTGACAGACAGACTGACAGACAGACGGACAGACAGACGGACGGAGGGTAAACCTAAAGTCCCCTCCGTCCGTAAATCGGTAGGGGACTAATAAAGTGGATGAAAAGGATATGGTTAGGATTCCTGTACTGAAAAAGTTGGAATGATTGTGACAATTTGTCTGTAAATGTTTTTGAATCTATAAGTTTTATTGAATGACAAATGAATTCACAGTTAAAGGTCAAATTTAAAGAAAAACCAGAATTTATCGGTTAAACATTCATTTTCACTGAAATATTTACACAGAGAACTATTTAAAGTTAGAAATAATGAGCTTATATGACACTGAATCATAATGAATCTTTGGATTATGTTGCTGACATTCCACATAAATAAACTTAAAATTTCATCAAATCAATAGGGAAATTAATTTCAATAATTAAAAATCTTGAATTTTCATGTAAATTTTTTAATTGTTAATAATTAATGTGCATTAAGTAATGAGAAATTCAAGCTTGCATATGTTTCAATCTGAAAAATTCTCATTTACTTCACACTGTATCATATCATTTGCAAAGATAAAATCTTATCCTAATAACTATAGTATTGGAAAATGATTTTCATGCATAGAAAGGGTACCGCTGGTATGACATTTTCTATCTTTAACACAGTGTAAATGCATTCTCTAGGAACAACCATTCTTTTAGCAATTTTGTTTTTATTTTTTTCCAAACATTTCTAAGTTCCTTCAAATGTAAGATAACTGAAGAAAACTAAACATTTCAATGTTCATTCAAATGTAAAATAACGGGAAGAAACTAAGCCAATACAACTTTTTTCGTTGTTGAAACACGAAAAGTAAGAAACTCCTTCGGCTGCAGTCTCACTTACATCCTGGCAGAGCCCGGAAGACGTCCGGGCTGATCCAGAACGACTGGGGTACAATTTGGAACAACCAGAGTACATCTGTAACTCTGCCAGCAACGTCCGGAATGATCTGGGTACATCAGGCATTCGAGCCCGGATGGAAAAAAATAATTAATATCACTGGGGGGGGGGTCCGGGTAGAGCCCTGACCAAGGGTGAATGCCTGCAGAGCCCAGAGGATAACGATAGATCCTATGCAATTGATCCCAAGCAGAGCCCCGGCAATTTTAGCCCGGTTCAATTCAAAAAAAACACAACAAATTGCGATGATTATAGCACTTGTTTGTATATAAAAACCCTTTCCCCATTTCCCTTCTGTCTAATCTTGCATATTTAGGACTATTCGAAAATCATCATGAATTTTTACTATTCTGGAACAATAGATATTATATTCAATGAAAATTAATATATCAACGTAATCATTTCACGTGCTTTCAATCCACCGGGGTTCTACCGGGATTGTCATGGGCTCTGGTCTGGATTGACCTGGGCTCAGTGCCTAGGTTCAAAACGGGCAGTCTCTCCCAGCATTCATTCAGGGGAAAGCACCGGCCTAAACCGTAGTGTTTCACCTGGCCTCTGTCTGAACGCATTTTTGGCGGTTAGATTGGAAATTACCGTTAGTGCTCCCGGGGGTAAGTTGACCCACCAAAAAACCCCCGACACCCAGTAACTTACGGGGTGTCCGGCTCTTGCCTGGTGTTAAGTGATACCGCAGCTTTAATGTCGGGATATTTATACATTTTTCTTATTCTTTGCTCCAATATATTTACCATTTATAGTACTGCAAAGCATATTTATTTACTCTTAGAAATTTTTGAATATTTTAAACAAAAAAACTAGAAATGCTGTGTATCATGCCACGGATGCCCCCGCATCAGCCAAAAATTTCAGATGGATGCATTTTAATTATTTTTTTCATTTTAAGTTCAAGCCCTTAAAACTTATTCAAATGAACACAAAAACCATTTCCATACCAATGTTCAAAGCACTGAAAATTATTTCAGTCTTAACCTTTAGAAATAGCATATTGCATATTTGTAGCCAAAATAATGGCTAAAAGAATGAGTGGTGGAAACTGAAAAGTTCAAAATTTTTTCCAACATCAGGAAAGATAAGTTTGTCTAAAATCATTGAAACCAGACCAAATTTCCAACTTAAATGCTTATTCCTAAGATGGTATCTTTATATTATTTTCATAAGTAGAAAGAGACATAACTCTGCCCCAAAAAATCATCAAAACCATGACCAAATTCCAACTTGACCTGCCCCATTCCTTTGACATCAATCCATATGTTCAAATTAAAGTTGAATATGTGACACTTGTTGGGTAGATAAGGATCAGAAAAACTGTAATTTCATATTATTTTCAAAGTGAACAGGGGCATTACTCTGCCAAAAATCATGAACCATGACCAAATTGAACTTGACCTGGGCATTCCAAAAACGTATCCATAAGTCAAATTTGAGTTGAATTGTGTTGTACCCATTGGGGAGATAATAAACGGAAACTGAAAACTTTCATATTACTTTCAAAGTGAAAGGGGCATAAACTCTGCCAAAATCATTGACCATGACCAAATTTGAACTTGACCTGCGCATTTCCTTTGACGCAGTCCATATGTTCACGTTTGAGATTGAATGTTGATTGTACCTTGAGGGAGATAATGTAACGGAAATCTGAAAATTTCATATTTAATTTTTCAAAGTTAAAAGGGGCATAACTCTCCCAAAAATCATCGAACCAATGACCCAAATTTGAACGTTGACCTGATATTTTCTCAATGACATATCCATATGTCAAGTTTGAATTGAATGTTTCCAAACCGTTCTTAAGATAATGAACGGAAACTGAAATTTCATATTATTTTTCAAAGCAAAAGGGGCATTAACTATGCCAAAATATCAATCGAACCATGACCAAATTCGAAACTTGACTGTATTTTCTCAATGACATATCCATATGTTCAAATTTGAGTTGAAATATTGTTCCAACGTTCTTAAGATAATGAAAACGATGATGACGGGAATGACAGAAGGACGGAAAGGATGGAAGGATGGGAAGGACGGAATGACGGAAACAGGGTAACACTATATGCCCCGGCCATTACATGCGGGGGGCATAAAAAACAGGCAAGCATTAAACTATTGAACTTTTGAACGTCTAGTGTAACATCCGTCCCCCCCCCCCCAATTATCTAACATTCGTCCCCTGATACAGTTCAGTTCTGTATTATATGACAAGAAACATACATTTATAAGAAAGCCCTATAAAATTTTTACTGTTTTACAAGAAATGTGTTTGCATTTATATTTGATTTAAGTATAATGACTTGGTGTACCTATCCTTGTTTTTTTCTCTTCGTTTCTAACATGTTTGAAAATTTCATTTTTGCAAGGGAAAATAGTGAAAATTAGAAAGCAAATATTTTTATATCTAAGATGAATTTTCCAAAATTTTCTTTTTGTAACATTTATCAGAATACATAATATTTTTTTTTTTTTTTTTTTTTTTTTTTAAAGAGAAATAATAATTTCCTTATAATAAAACTTAAAGATATGCAGACTTTAAGCATAACTTTGAAACATCAATCCCCTACCCCAAAGATCAATGAAATATTTTGAAAATAAAAGTATCCAAAGTTATCCTTGTTTTAAAAAAATAATGTTACAGGCACCTTCCCTAAGGTACATTAAAAAGCAAATATCGTCTTGTTTAACTTGATTATTTGACTTAGATGCTAATATATTTGGCCCATTTATTTACTCACGTGCAGCAGGCATAGACTGACATTTTATTGCTGAGAAATTCACAAATTTGACCTTTAGTTTCAAATTCAAATTAAGGTCAAATCACATGTACAATAACAACTAGAGTTAAAAGCAAAAAGAAACACTTACCAACAAACTGCCCGCCACATAGATCTACTGCATAAATGACATCATGCACGAGAATATAAAACTTCACTTGTCTACTAGTATATAAAACAAGCAGATATTTTGAAAATTTGTTGAAAATTAACTGCTGTATGATTGGGTCTCCAAACCGCTTTCATCTCATGCAGGCACTAATTACTTGGCACCCGCTAAAAGTTCAAAGCGTTTATGCGGCGACGGACGAATCGACACGATAATTTAGGGGTAGTCACCATACACGGCAAACTCATCAGTAAATTCCCGCCATTTATATCATAATTGAACATTTAAGTACTAAAATAAAAACTTCAAATGTATTCATTCATAAAAATACACTAGATGTTCCTAAAATTGTAATCAAACTGTACAATGATTTAAAAGTTGTAGAGCTAACACCCCAATAAAAACGTAAACATTGAATCGTCCAGTAATCTGGGTCATCGTCTGCTAATGTACTGATCACACTCGCCTCGGATGTGATACGCACACAATAACAGTATGTATAGGTCATATTTTATTTTAAAAATTTTAAAATTAAAACGTGAAGATGATGTGGCGTTTGAAAGAAGATATTGATTCGGATACTTTGTACAATAACGATGAGGAAATCGGCGCTAGTAGGCCCTACAGGTCTGTGTCCGCCCTGAAGAAGATCTTCATTTTTTGAAGGTAAGTGGCTGGTATGTAACTGTCTCTTCATTACATAATATCACGGGAAATTAACATTTAATTGCAATTACTGAAAAGTCTGAAACTACTGAAAAGTCTATCTTTCTATAAAATTCTCATTTTTTTTTGGCTTCGTTCATGCCTATTTTAGCCTCAAATCAGTGTGAAAAAAATAGTTTTATATAGAAAAGGTTTAGCTTTAAATAAAAACTTTAAGGAATTTGGCAAAGATGAAATATAATGAAAATTAATCTTTAAAGAAAATAATTTCAAACACTAATTTGTATTAAAAAGTATACTTTAATGATTATAATCAAACGGATTATTTAGACTGTGCATGCAGAAGGAGTGAATTTATTGATCATTAATGGAATGCACACAAAAGAGACAAAAGTTACAGGGATTTTTTCCAGGATTTTAGGAACACGACACATGGTGAAAAAAAGCATGACTGAAGTTTTAAAGTGATTAAAATAAATGGATGCAAACAATTTCTGTCTATGGTGGCATCTTCAATTATTTAAGCACTATTACAGTGAAGATCGAAGCCCTTATTTGCAAAGATTCAATACTTAAATTTTGTAACTTTCAAATTGGGAATTTTTTATGTGGATTGGGAAAATAATATACAATTTTCAATTGGGAATATGACCCAATAACGGCTATAAAATTAGCCAAAAAACTCCCTGCTTGAGTTAACAAGCTACATTGTATTTTAAAGGATTTGTTGTGATATGATTTTATAACAGTGGGTGGTCAGTCAGGAAAACTTTATAATCAGTTCCAGATAAGGGCAACTGGTCAAGATACTATTGATTGATTATACTCTAAATCACTCATTTTATTCAATGACTTAATTTGCAGATCAAACATAATCCCAACTTTTCTAGGAAACACATTTAGACCTGTGACAGTTAAATGCTCATTTTTTAATGTCGAAGTTGAGCTGAATTAGCGATATTCAATGTTACAATCTCTAAAATTTAATGATCAATTAATGAAACATGGATTGACCAATAATTTATAATGACAAACAAAATGATTAGGGTGAAATTAAAATTGCTTAATATTAAAAAGACAGCCCAACTTTTATGTGACATCCGTGCTGTTCTACAGAAATTAGAAACTTCGAGTTTGACGGGAGCAATAGCGACCGTAGAATGTTTCTAATTTCTGTAGAACAGCTACGGATGAATACTGACATATTTAGTGTCAACCTCATTAATGATTATGATTCGTACATGTGAACTTTTTACGATGATCAAGTGGGAGATTTTTTTTCAAAAAGAGGGAGATTTTAGAATTTGCAATTAACAAAGAAGAAAGTTTTGATATCAAAATGAGGGAGATTTCTTTAATTTGTGAAAATACCCCTTATTTTAAGAAAAATCTTTGAAAATATGACTGCAGAAAGTGGGAGTCTCCCGCTTAAAGTGGGAGAGTTCACATGTATGATGATTATATGAAAATGATCAATTGAAAACATTGGGACAAAATGTAAAGTTATTATGACTTTTTCCACGTTACAGCACTCAACATTAACATTTATAAGGATTAGCATAATATCACTTTTAATGTAATTTTAAGGCATAACAATAATAATGTCCTGTACTTACTAAGGTTTTCTGGTGGAACACTATTTCTTTAATAATTAAATGCCCACGCTGTTATAATAACTACCACATTTTTTCATTCATTCTGACTATTCTGCAGTCTGTACGGAATTGCTTATTCAAGAGTTATAAATTACATCCAATAAGTTTTTTCCAAAGCGATGAGATTTGCAACAATAATGTTACACATGTATATAATGATCCCGGTAACACAGTCATGTGCATACCAAATTAGACACCAAATAAAAATTGTAAATTTTCAAATTTTTCTGGTACACACAGTAGACACAGTATATTATCTGCATCTTCTACAGTAGGTATAATACTTACTGGAACACAACATGCAGTTACAGTTCCATTTGCAGTGTTCCCTATATCTACAAATTAACTGCTACAATAAAATTCAAAATAACCTGTTCAGGTAAAAGCTTTTTGACATAGTTCAAGTATCTTTTTCAGTGATTTTCCTACTTATATAACAGACTCCGAAAAAAGGCCTCTTCCCAATTGAAATTTTCTTTAAAATCATGCAGTTTTCCCAAAAATCTGAACTTAAACCAGCTTTTTTACTTCCCAAATCAGCAATTTTAGCGATAATTTTTCCCAAAATCAAGAGGCTCAGGCCTCTTCCCAATTAAGTGAGAAAAATCACTGTTTTTAAAGACACTTATGTTTAGGATAAGTATTTAGTTACGCAGCGGGCAAGTCAACTATAACAGTAAAACAGATATCAAATTGTGATTTTCCATCTTAAGGCATGCAGGCTTGCGATATAAATTAAAATATTGACAAATTAATCACCTGTCAGCGTAACATACTAGGTAAGGTTGCCAGTTAATGTTCTAGTTAAATATCAATGCAAGACTGGTCCGAATTGTACTCTTTTTTTTTTTTTTTTTTTCTCGCGAAAAATAGTTTCTGTAAATAAACATGTTATTTTTTTCTTCACCTAAAGAAATATTTAGTGTTGTGTTAATTTCAAAAGACTATTAAAGGGACTCCACTGAGGTTTTTTTGACATGACGGAACTGGAAATATTTTTTTGAGATTATTACTCCATTTGATGCAGATCTATACTAATTACTTACATGTGCAAAATTTCAGATTCTGAGCTTGCTCCATTTTTCCAGAATAATTATTATAATAGTGAAAAATGACCCAAAATTGAAAAGCGTTTAAACGCTTTACACATAAATCGGACTGAGAATGTCACAAACATATGATTTTTAATGTATTTCTTTAAAAATTTTGGTTATATTTTATAAATATTGATGTTTTAAGTGCTCATGTATATGACTGTGAAAAAATTAAAATTTCATGTTTTACGCTTATAAACCTCAGTGGAGTTCCTTTAATGATTTGTGTTGTGTTAATTTCTATAAACTTCTCATTTCACTTTATTTTCAAAGTAATATCTGGCAAGTTGGTACAACCTAAAAATTATACTGAATACTAAACGGAATGAATAAATGTACACAAATTGTTTCACCTGGCACAAAATACTTGTGCACTGCACAAGTACTTTGACTCACTGCATACTACACAGGATAAAAATAATTTTCCGGTATATTTAAATTATTAGATACTATTACAAATTATATTTATTTTCCAATTCTAAGTTAGACAACTTGTGATACTCGAACTCCTAAAGATGTCGGTTTAATTGCATCCTAATGATTTTACAAAATTTGCCATTAAGACATTTAAAATTCTATTTTTAGCTTGACTATTCGAAGAATATGAGAGCTATTGTAGTCGCCCCGGCGTCCGCGTCTATGTTGGTTAATGTGTTTTTTTGTAAATTCAAATATCTCAATTATTGCTTTAGATATTCAGTTGAACTTACAATACTTATTTATAGTAACAATGTACATCAGATTGACAAGTTGGATAACTCTGCCTACAATATTGACAAAATTATGCCCCTTTTTAACTTAGAAGTTTTGGTTAAAGTTTTTTGTAAAGTCAAATATCTCAATTATTGCTTGAGATATTCAATTGAAACTTACAATACTTATTTATAGTAACAATGTATCAGATTGACAAGATTACTCTGTCTACAATATTTACAGAAGACCCTTTTAACTAAGAAATTTTGGTTTAAGTTTTTTGTAAAGTCAAATATCTCAATTATTGCTCTGAGATATTTCATTTGAAACTTACAATAATATTTATTAACAAGTACATCAGATATGACAAGTTAGATAACTCTTGTCTTAATATTTACAGAATTATGCCCTTTATAACTTAGAAATTTTGGCTAAAGTTTTTTTGTAAAGTCAAATATCTCAATTATTGCTTGAGATATTCATTTGAAATTTACAATCCTTTTTTATAGTAACCATGTACATCAGTTTGCAAAATTGCATAACTTTGCCTGCAATATTTACAGAATTATTTGCCCCTTTGAAACTTAGAAATTTTGGTTAAAGGTTAAAGGTCTTCAAAGATATTTACTTGAAACTTTACACATGTGCTTAGGGTCATAATTGGAGAGTCATAATTGTATGTCACTGACCAAGTTCCATAACTCTACTCGCATTTAGGCTGATTCATCTTCCCTTTTCTACTTAGTCTCTTGGTTAATGTTTACATGCAAGTTTTACATATCTCAATAACTATGAAAGATATTTATTTAAAACTTCACATATATGCATTTAGAATCATAATTGTAGGTCACTGACCAAGATCCATAATTCTATCTTGCATTTAGGCTGATTTTTCTCCCCATTTTCAACGTCAATTTAATGTATTCATAGGTAATTAGCATTATTATACTTAATAAAACACCATTGTGACAACTTTTTGAATAGTCGAGCCAATACTGTCCTCCGACAGTTCTTGTTTATCTTGTACTATATTTTCTTCTTCAGAACCTGTTATACCTATTCAGACAAAGATTGTAAACTTTTGTGTACACAAAAAAATGCAACGTCATTCTCACATTCTCATAGCAGCACAGTACTTAAATTATGGTCATGTTTTTTTTTTCATGAATGAATAATTTTATATTTTTGCAGGTGAAGCTACAATATTTGTCTTGAACTTGACTTTACTAGCTGGGCTTATAAAGACAAGATATCCAGAAGTGATTTCATAGAGAAATGGAAATCAATAAGTAAGTTTTTTTTATCCAAGTCTTTAAATTTTATTTTGGTAAACAATAATGTAACCTTTCTGAATTATTGGAATACATGTACATTATTGTTTTGAAATAAGAACAGTCCATTAAAAATTAATTATACTTTTCCTTTTAATCTTCATTTTTAGCTCTACTTTAAAAAAAAAAAAAGATAAGTAGAGGTATAGTAACAGTCATGTTGGGTTGCCATTGTCGTTCGCAAACTTACTTGATCATAAATATTAAGTTCTTGGTGCATTAATTAAATGTCTTAATACCTGGCCACAACAACCCTTGGGACAAGACCTTCAAGTATACCAGACTAACCTTGACCTTCAATCATAAGTGCACTGTTTAAGATGTAAAATTGAACTTCAATATCAGCTGGCCTAGATCAATTTCTTGGCCTTTGATGTACAGCTATGAAATTTGGACCACAAGCACAGTTTTAGATGTAAAATATCAGCCATCCTTTTTTTTACATAGTTGCCTACTTTCTTGTCCTTTAATGTACAGCTATGAAATTTGGACCATGTGCACAGTTTAATATGTAAAATTGAACTTTGTTATCAGCTGTCCTATATTTTGACCTAGTCATCTATCTTCTTGTCCTTTGATGACTACAGCTAAGAGATTTGGACCCTGTCAGTGTGCAGTTTCAGATATATTATTGAATTTCAGTTTTTGTCAAATATCAGATTTCCTAGATTTTGAACTATTGGCATACTTTGGCTTTTTTTTTTACTTTTTTCTAAAATTTCTGTTTTAACATTTCTTTAAAACTTTAAATTTTAATTTGTTTGCATTTGGACAAAACAACACATGTTACCAAACATACATGTTCAATGATTTAGATATGATCTTTAGATGACATTGACAGTTGTTTAATTTATAATAAGGGGCAATAAAACATGAAAGCCATTTTTGTTCCCTAAAATGGTGACAGAATATTTGTCTTTTTTTCTCAAAAACTATCAAAAGTTAATCTGACAAACATTAAATATTTCTTGACTATCAAGGAAAGGTTAGTCTGCCAAGCACTTTTCTAGAATTAGGCCTGCTTAGAACTCCTGTGTTGCTTCTAACTATCTAGAACTTGTGAAAAGTGGAGCTTGGTCTCTGACAGAATTTGATTAAATAAACATCTAAACTAATTTATTCAGTATATCTGAAACCACTCTAGGTATTAAGTTGATAAGGTACAACTGAAAGGCGTATCTATACGTCGGGAGATAATGTACAAAAAAGGCATAGCTGTCTGTGAGTCTGTTAAGTTGAACAACTTTAAAATATATTCTTTTTGTTTGCAGTACCTAGAAGCATGTGAAGTGGAGATGAAGTGATGCTGAGAACTTTCAAGGTATATTTTGCTATTTTTGAGTAAACCTGTGACATAAAATGTAACTCCCTGCATTTTAGAATTCCTTTTTAGCTCAACTATATGAAGTATATGGAGAGCTGTCCTACTCACTCCGGCATCTGTGTCAAGATTTCAGATTAAAGTTTTGGTGCAGTAAAATATTTTGGACTGTAACTTTTTTATTGTGCACCCACCGTAGGTGGGTGGGGGCATTTAGATTTACCCTTGTCCGTCTATCCGCACTCACAGGACAGTAATTTATAATGTGGCTAGAGGGACAATAGGTAACTGTTCTTTCTCTTTGATGTCATTCATTCCGTAATGCTTTTATGTGGCTATTTTCTTTTGTGTGTCTAAAAAGAACAATAGAGGGAACAATAAAGTAGCCACATTATTACTCTCCTGTTAGAACGTCCATCCATCCGTCCATTCTCTTTTTGTGTCACACGTAACTCAAAAAGTAATTGATCTAGAGTGATGAAACCTTACAGGAATGTTGATCAGCATGTGAAGTTGTGCACCTGGGTATTTTCATGTGAATATATTATTCAGTATCTTCAGAGTTATTGCCCTTGACTTAGTAAAAATTTGCAAGTTTCAACAGTTACTTGTGTCGCAAGTAACTCAAATAATATTTTACCTAGAGGCATGAAACCTTACTGGAATGTTTATTAGCATGTGTAGTTGTTCACCTGGGTATTTTTGTGTGGATATATTTAGTATTTTTAGAGTTATTGCCCTTGACTTAGTAAAAATATCCAATTTTCAACTTGTGTCGCACATTGCTAAAAAGTATTTGACCTAGAGTCATGAAACCTTACAAGAATGTTGATCAGCATGTGTAGTTGTGCACCTGGGTATTTTTGTGTGGATATTTTTAGTAATTTTATTGTTATTGCCCTTGACTTAGTAACAATTTACACTATTCAATTTGTGTTGCACGTAAATCAAAATTTATTTGACCTGTAGGCCTGAAAGTTTACAAGAATGTTGGTCAGCATGTGTACCTTGGTGTTTTTTTTGTGGATTTATTCAGTATTTGTAGTATTTGCCCTTTACTTAATAAAAGATTTTTAGTTTTCAACTTGGGCACATGTAGCCCAAAAAAAAATTTGACCTAGAGACATAAGATTGACAAATCGGTGGAGTGTGCGGGCACCCGTGTCCTATGGACATATTTCTTGTTTCTTCAGGTATCAACTTCAAACTTCAAATATATGTTCCTTATCATCAACCACATGTCATGTGACAAGGTTCATAACTCTAGCACCAATATTTTCAGATTTATCTCCCCTTGAACTTAAAAAATATTATGTTTTACTACAACTTTTTCATTTCTTAAGGTATCAACTTCAAACTTCAAATACATGTTCCTTATCAATAAAATATTTTTGACTGTTACTTCTTTATTTCATAAGTGATCAACTTCATACTTCAAATGCATGTTCCTTATCATCAACCACAGCTTATGTGACAAGGTTCATAACTCTAGCACCAATATTGCAAGAATTATCTCCCCATTAACTTAGTTTTTTTTCTTGAAAAATGTTATTTTTATCATAACTTCTTTAGTTTTATAGATATCTACCTCAAACTTCAAAAACATATTCCTTATCATCAACCAAATCTTATGTGACAAGGTTCATAACTCTTAAAGCAATATTTTCAGATTTATCTCCCTTTGAACTTAGAATTTCTTTTAAGAAATATCATAACTTCTTTACTTTTTAGCTCACCTGTCACGACATCTCATAAATCACTGAGCCAATTTCGCCCAAACTTCACAGGAATGTTCCTTTGGTGGTCACCTTTAAAAATTCTTCAAAGAACTAAATTCCATGCAGAACTCTGGTTGCAATGGCAATCAAAAGATTTAAATTTCTTCTTCTGAAAAACCCAAAGAGGTAGACCTTAGATATTTGGCACGATTCATCTTCTAGTGCGTGTCTACCAAGTTTGTTCAAATAAAAGCCCTGGGATCAAATTTGGCCCCACCCCAGGGGGTCATTGATTTTCCCTATATGTGTATAGTTAAAACTTAAAAAATCTTCTATAAAAAAAACCGAAAGAGCTAAACCTTATATGTTTAGCATGAAACATCTTCTAATGGGTGTCTACCAAGTTAGTTCAAATAAGAGGCCTTGGATTTAAATTGGCCCGCCCTGGGGGTCATTAATTTTCCTTATATATGTATAGCAAAAGCTTAAAAAATCTTCTTTTAAAAAAAATGAAGAGGTAGAGCTAGGGTATTAAGAATGAACTATCTTCTAGTGAGTGTCTACCAAGTTTGTTCAAATAAAAACCCTCAGGGGTCAAAATTTTGCCTGCCCCAGGGGTTCATTGTTTTTCCCTACATGTGTATAGTAAAAACTTCTTCAATAAACCCAAGGAGCTAGAGCTAAGATATTGTAATATTGTAATGGGTGTCTACCAAGTTTGTTGAAATAAGGGCTCTGGGGTTACGGGTCATTGATTTTCCTAATATGTGTAAAAAATCTTATAAAAACCCCAAAGAGCTAGAGTTTAGATATCTTCTAGTGAGTGTCTATACCAATTTTGTTCAAATAAAAGCCCTGTGGTACAAAATTATCCCTGCCCCGATGGGGGGGTGGGGTCATTGTTTTTCCCTATATGGGTATATTAAAAATTTAAAATTTCTTCTTTTAATAAACTCAAAGGGCTAGGGCTTAGATATTTAGCATGAAACATCTTCTAATGGGTGTCTTATTGTAAAATCCCTTGGGTTAAAATTTGCCTGGCTCGTGAGGCCTATATACAGGTGAGCGATTTCAGGGCTATCATTGCCCTCTTGTTAAGGTATCTTCTTCAAACTTCAAATATGTTTTTCTTATCACACATGTTGTGGCAAGGTCAATAACTCTAGTGTGACTATTTCAAGAATTATTTCCGCTTGAACTTGGAATTTATGTAAACAAATATAACTGCTTGTCATAAGAAGAAATAATTTTATATTATAATTGATTTTCCTATCATAGTTTTGTCTTCCTTACTGCATCCAGTATTTAATTAGTCGAGCTTCTCTGTCTCCTGTGACAGATCTTGTTGTTGTACATATTCAGTGTCAATTTTACCAATCTATTACTATAGCATAATAATATACATGTATAATTACTTATCATTATATAATAAAGATGTACATGTACCTGCACTGTTTGAAAATTTCATCTATTTTGACATCAAGCATACTTGACTCCTAGCATACTTGACTCCTGGCATCAGTGTTTGCTCAAAATTTCCTATATTTTTATGCCACCGCAGCATCTGCGATGCGGTGGCATATAGCAATTCACCTGTGTGTGTGTGTGTGTGTGTTTGTTTGTGTGTGTGTGTGTTATATAGATTATATAGTGAACTTAAAAAATCTTCTTGTGAAAAACCACTAATCCAATTTCAACCAAACTTGGCAGGATTGATCCTTGGGTGAAGGGCTTCCAAAGTTGTTCAAAGAATTTCATTCCATGCAGAAATCTGGTTGCCATGGCAACCAAAAGGAATTATAAGAATAAATTTAAAAAATCTTCTTGTAAAGACCCAGAAGGCCTAGAGCTTAGATATTTTGCATAAGGCATTGTCTGGTAGACGTCTACCAAGATTGTTCAAATTATAGCCCTGGGGTCAAAATCGGCCCCGCCCCGGGCGGGGGTCATTGATTTTCACTATATGTTCATATAGTTAAAACTTAAAATACCTTCTTGTAAAGACCCAAAAGGCCCAGAGCTTAGATATTTTGCATAAGGCATTGTCTTGTAGACCTTTGCCAAGATTGTTCAAATTATAGCCCTGGGGTCAAAATCGGCCCCGCCCGGGGGGTCATTAAATTTCACTATATGTACATATAGTAAAAACTTAAAATACCTTCTTGTAAAGACCCAAAAGGCCTAGAGCTTAGATATTTTGCATAAGGCATTGTGTAGTGAACCTCTAGCAAGATTGTTCAAATTAAAGCCTTGGGGTCAAAATCGGCCCGCCCCTGGGGTCAATGGTTTTCTTTATATGTATATTGTAAAAACTGACAGTAAAAACTTTAAAAAAATTTCTTCTAGCAATTGACAAATGCTATAGGTTAGATATTTTGCATGAAACATTGTGTAGTGAACCTCTAGCAAGATTGTTCAAATTATAGCCCTGGGGTCAAAATTGCCCCTGCCACGGGGGGTCATTGATTTCCAATATATACATATAGTAAAAAATGAAAAAATCTTCTTGTCTGAAGGTACAAGGCTTAGAGCTTTGATATTTGGTATATAATATCATCTATGGGTCCTCTACTAAAGTTGTTTTAATTATGCCCCTAGTGAAAAAAATTGCCCTGCCCTAGAGGCGATAGTTTTCCTTATATGTATAAAGTAAAAACTTGAAAAATCTTCTTCTCTGAATTGACAAAGGCTAGAGGTTAAATTTATGGCATGAGACTTTGGGAAGTGAACCTCTACTAAGATTGTTCAAATTATAGCCCTGAGGTCATTGATTTTCATTATGTACATATAGTAAAAAAAAATGATAAAAACTATTTTTGTCTGAAGCTACAAGGCATAGAGCTTTGATGTTTGCTATATAATATCATCTGTAGGTCCTCTACCAAAGCTGTTCAAATTTCCCCTGGTGTCAAAATCGGCCCTGCCTGGGGGCAGTGATTTTCATTAAGTACACATAATAAAAACAGAAAATAAAACAAATGTTTTCTGAATGGGAGAAAGCTACAGCTTAGATATTTGACTTGAAATGTTTGGTGGACCTGTATCAAGATTGTTTTGAATTAAACCCTTGGGTCAAAATTTTGCCTTGCCCAAGGGGACAGTGACCTACTTTCTTGTCCTTTGATGTACAGCAATTAAATTTTGACCATGTGCACAGTTTAAGTTGTAAAATTGAACTTTTATATCAAGTGACCTAGATTTTGATTATGTGACCTACTTTCTTGTCCTTTGATGTACAGCTATGAAATGTGAACCATGTGCACAGATTAAGATGTAAAGTGAACTTTGATTATCAGCTGACCTAGATTTTGACAAAGTGTCTTACTGTGTTGTCCTTTGATGTAGTCATGAAATTTAGGCTGTCGTCTGCTTATCTTTCTGCAAGGGAATGCTAGCAGTTTATAGTAATACGTTGGTTTTGCATTGGTACCGGCTCATCCAGACAATAATATACGAGGTTAATAAAAGACCCGTTCTTCAACAGTATTTGTTCCGACACTTCTATTTAGTGTTGTATTAATGCGGTGGCATAGCATTTCTCAAATGCAATCTTGTTGTGTGAAAGGGTCGTAACTGATACTTTATCAATAATCTTTTTTGTCCCCCGCCTTTTCGAAGAAAAAAGGGGGATATAGAAATAGGCTCCGTCCGTCTGTCCGTCCGTCCGTCCGTCACACTTTCGTGTCCGGTCCATAACTTTGTCATTTATGAAAGGAATTTGAAATAACTTGGCACAAATGTTTATTATAATAAGACGATGTGTCATGCGCAAAACCAGACCCCTACCTCCAGGGTCAAGGTCACACTTGCTCATTCAAGGTCAAAATTGCCTATTTGAGGGTATATGTCGTGTCCGGTCCATAACTTTCTTATCTATGAAGGGATTTTGTAAATACTTGCCATAATTGTTCACAATAATCAGACGATGTGTCATGCGCAAAAACCAGTCACCTACCTTCAAGGTCAAGGTCACACTTGGAGGTCAAATATTAACATAGTCTGTTACAGGGTATATTTCGTGTCCGGTCCATAACTTTCTTATCTATGAAGGGATTTTGTAAATACTTGCCATAATTGTTCACAATTATCAGACGATGTGTCATGCGGAAAAAGCAGTCACCTACCTTCAAGGTCAAGGTCACACTTGGAGGTCAAATATTAACATAGTCTGTTACAAGGTATATTTCGTGTCCGGTCCATAACTTTCTTATCTATGAAGGGTTTTTGTAAATACTTGCCATAATTGTTCATAATAATCAGACGATGTGTCATGCGCAAAAACCAGTCACCTACCTTCACTGTCAAGGTCACACTTGGAGGTCAAATATTAACATAGTCTGTTACAGGGTATATTTCGTGTCCGGTCCATAACTTTGTCATTTATCAAAGGAATTTGAGATAACTTGGCACAAATGTTTGTTATAATAAGACGATGTGTCATGCGCAACAACCAGACCCGTACCTTCAGGGTCAAGGTCGTACTTGTTCATTCAAGGTCAACATTGTCTATTTGAGGGTATATGTCGTGTCCAGTCCATAACTTTCTTATCTATGAAGGACTTTTGTAAATACTTGCCATAATTGTTAACAATAATCAGATGATGTGTCATGCGCAAAAACCGGTCACCTACCTCCAAGGTCAAGGTCACACTTGGAGGTCAAATACTTACATAGTCTGTTACAGGGTATATTTTGTGTCAGGTCTATAATTTTTTCATAGATCAAAGGATTGTGAAAATAATTTGCACAAATAGTCACAATAATAAGAGGATGTGCCACGCGCAACACCTGCATCCCTACCTCCAAGGTCAAGGTCACACTTAGAGGTCAAAAATTAACATAGTCTGTTATAGGGTATATTTTGTGTTGAATCTAGAACTTCTTCATAGTTCAAGGGATTTTGAAATAACTTGGCACAAATAATCACAATAATAAGACGTTATGTCATGCACAACACCTGCTCCCCTACCTCCAAGGTCAAGTTCACACTTAGAGGTCAAAGCTTAACATGATAGATTTTTAAATTCCGTGTTTCATTTTATTTTTTTAACAAATTTATTGTTACATTTGCAGATCTAGCATTGATCATAATTTTGGACTGAATGTCCTGAGATTCATACCTCAATCTTTTGAAATAGCACAATTTTATGCTTCATATAAAACTCCCGGGGCGGGGGACGTTGGTAACTCTGTTACAAATTCTTGTTTGCATACAAATAGAATGACCTTACCAATCAAAGATAAATCAATAACTGAATGAATTTTAGCCCAATTCCAAAATCAAATTAGAACTTCGTAGGATGATAGATCTTATTAAGAAAAATTGCAGTGCACAAGAACCAGTACTTTGCACTTCTTTTATTTTGAGTTAGTGCACTTTGTTAACAATAATACTATATTTTTGTACAGGCCATTTTTCCTAAACAATAAAAGCTATTGACTTGAAACTTCATAGGATGATAGACATTATTAAGAAGAAGTACATTTCACTAGAACCAGAAGTCTGCACTTCTTATTTTTTTAGTTATTGCCCTTTGTTTATTATCATATTTTTTTGTCTGGGCCATTTCTCCTAAACAATAAAAGCTATTAACTTGAAACTTCACAGGATGATAGATCTCATTAAGGAGAAATGCAGTGCATAAGAAACGGTACTCATCACTGAAACGGTACTCATCACTTCTTTATTTTTGAGTTATTGCCCTTTGTTAATTTTCATTTGTTAAATACTTAATTTTTGTCCGGGCCATTTCTCATATATAACAAAAGCTATGGACTTGAAACTTCAGAGGATGATAAATCTCATTAAGAAAAATTGTAGTGCACAAGAACCAGTACACTGCACCTCTTTTATTTTCAGTTATTGCCCTTTGTTAACAATAATACTTAAGTTTTTTACAGGCCATTTCTCATAAATAAAACATAAAAAAATAAAGCTATTGACTTGAAACTTCATAGGATGATAGATCTCATTAAGAAGAAGTGCAGTGCAAAAGCACCGGTACTTACCACTTTATAATTTTTCAGTTAATGCCCTTAGTTAATTTTCATTCTTTATTTTTGTCTAAACCATTTCACAGACACTTGGGGTGTGGAGCTCAAAACGCCTTTAAAATCCAAATAAAAAGCATATTTGTCAATCCCAGCACATGTACTGATCATATATATATCAATAAGTCGTTATTATTATAGTCGTTGAAATATAAATTTTTTTCAAAACGGCTTATATTGAATTTTTTTTATATATATGATCAGTACATGTGCTGGGATTGACAAATATGTTTTTTATTTGGATGTTAAAGGCGTTTTGAGCTCCACACCCCAAGTGTCTGTGGACCATTTCTCATATATAATAAAAGGTATGGACTTGAAACTTCTGAGGATGATAGCTCTCATTAAGAAGAAGTGCAGTGCACAAAAACCGGTACTCATCATTTCCTATTGTTTAGTAATTGCCCTTTGTCAATTTTCATACTTTATTTTTGTCCTGGCCATTTCTCCTAATTAAGCTGTAAAAGTTATGGACTTGAAACTTCATAGGATGATAGATCTTATAGTAAAGGAGTAAAGTGCAAAAAAAACTGGTACTCTGCACTTCTTATTTTTTTAGTTATTGAGTTATTGCCCTTTATTGATTTTCAGGTTATTTCTCCTAAACTGTAAAAGCTTTGGACATGAAAATTTTGTAATTTCAAGGCCTTGAACTAAATTGCATCTTCACATTGAGTAGTTTAAGGGCCTTTAACTTAGAATGAAAAATAATCATGTATGCAAACAAAATTGGAACTATTAGAATGAAAATTAATGGTTTGTGTAAACAAATTTGGAACTAGATATTAATATTATTATCAACAGTACAATTATGTCTGCATGCGTGAGCATCCATGGGGTGATGACACATTTCTAGTTTTATCTTTTTAAAATGCAATTTCAGAAATAGTATAATCAATTATCACTCTTATCTTTAAAAGTGACCTATATACCATGTACTTGTTTCATTGGAATAAGTCAGTACTTACCTATGCATTTATATTATTAGTTATAAAGATTTTTTTGACAAGTTATATTATTAGTTATAAAGATCGTTGACAGGTTATATGGCCCTATATAAACGGCTGTTTGTAAATATAACCCGAGCCGGTAGGCGAGGGTTATATTGCAAACAGCCGTTTATATACGGCCATATAACATGTCAACAATCTTTATAACGAATTTATAATACAGCAATCATCATTTTTTAGAGGAAAAAGTAAGATTTCTTCATGAATCGACAACAGCCGTGTATATAAAACTATATAAACGTCACGATTATCCAATGAAAAGCGACGTTACAAACGTGCAGTATTATAAGGCCCTATATAAATGGTTATATTGCAAACAACAGTTTATTATTATGGCCATATAACCAGTGTCAGAAATATTTATAACAAATTTATGATACAGCAAGCATCTTTTTCAAGAGTAAAAAGATTTCGTCATAAATTTACAGCAGCCGTGTATATAAAATTGTATATATGTCACAATTGTCCAATGAAAAGCAATGTTACAACGTTCAGTATTTTAAGTATATTTATTAACCAATGTCAGCAGGTTGGGGAAGACTGTTTTAAGAGACTGTCTTATGTGACCATTTTTCTTGATTCCCAGAGTCGATCACTTTAAACAGTTTTGACTGTACTGAGTAACAAACCTTTAGCACAAAGGCATCGATTTGCACTTACTCTTAAGAGTGTTAATATTGAATTTGATATTTATAACATACTTTGTCAAAGAAGCAATTATTATGTACATATCGTATATTTACTCACTGACTTACTTTGCAGGAAACTTCTCAGTGAAGTCCGATGATGGCACACAAGAGTACCTTCTTCATGTTCTTCATGGGATAAAGCACAGGATCATTATAATCAGGAGTTACTCACAGGATCATTATAATCAGGAGTTACTAGTACTCAGTCAACATAGACTCAATTTTAGAAAAGAATTAAATGGATATTAATGTTAGCCTAAAAATATTTGACCTAGAGTCTTTAGTTTGTGTTGGGGCACCCATGTCCTTTGGATACTTTTCTAGTTACAATTTAATTAGACATTAGTGTAAATACAACAAAATTAATTATTTAATGCTGTTCATGTTTGAACTATGTTTTAATCTTACCTACATGTATAAAAATCAAACATTTTTAGCTCGACTATTTGATAAGAATAAGTATAGCTATTGTAGTCACCCGAGTGGCGGCGTAACCTCCTATGTTAAAGTTTTTGTAATACCACAAATATTTTCAAAGTCCGTTATTAAGATTTTTCTTGTTATAAATAAATGTTCCGCCGGCAGAACAGAATCACTTATGATTATATCCTATGTTTAAATTGATGTTATCATATTTATGTTCCGTCAGCAGAACAATTTCAAATCAATTTTATTAAATGATATTCTTTCTGAATTATATTTTTAATTAAACCTAAAAAGGTTGTTAAGAATTTTCTTGTTATAAATAAATGTTCCGCCGGCAGAACAGAATCACTTATGATTATATCCTATGTTTAAATTGATGTTATCATATTTATGTTCCGTCAGCAGAACAATTTCAAATCAATTTTATTAAATGATATTCTTTCTGAATTATATTTTTAATTAAACCTAAAAAGGTTGTTAAGAATTTTCTTGTTATAAATAAATGTTCCGCCGGCAGAACAGAATCACTTATGGTTATATCCTATGTTTAAATTGATGTTATCAAACTTATGTTCCGCCGGCAGAACAATTTCAAATCAATTTTATTAAATGATATTCTTTCTGAATTATATTTTTGATTAAACCTAAAAAGGTTATTAAGATTTTTCTTGTTATAAATAAATGTTCCGCCGGCAGAACAGAATCACTTATGGTTATATCCTATGTTTAAATTGATGTTATCAAACTTATGTTCCGCCAGCAGAACAATTTCAAATCAATTTTTATTAAATGATATTCTTTCTGAGTTATATTTTTGATTAAACCTAAAAGGTTATTAAGATTTTTCTTGTTATAAATAAATGTTCCGCCGGCAGAACAGAATCACTTATGGTTATATCCTATGTTTAAATTGATGTTATCAAACTTATGTTCCGCCAGCAGAACAATTTCAAATCAATTTTTATTAAATGATATTCTTTCTGAATTATATTTTTGATTAAACCTAAAAAGGTTGTTAAGAATTTTAATATATTGTAATAAGTAAATGTTCTGCCGGCGGAACAGGATTATTTATGAATTTATAAATTTTTCCTTTGCGTTAGAGTGAATCATATTTCTGTTCTGCTGGCGAAACAATTTCAAATGATTACATTATTTGATTTTAATTTAAGAAATATATTTTTGACAAAATTTTGCAAAGGTGTTAAAAATTGTATCTTGTAGTAAATAAATGTTCCGCCGGCAGAACAGAATCACCTACGGTTATATCCTATAGATGTTTAAATTGATGTTATCATACTTTTGTTCCGCCGGCAGAACAATTTCAAATCAATTTTATTAAATGATATTCTTATTAGAGTTATATTTTTTATTAAACCTTTAAAGGTTGTTAAGAATTTTGATATGTTGTTATAAGTAAATGTTCCGGAGGCGGAACAGGAATTTTTATGATTCTATCTTATTTTTGCATTCATTTGGACTGGAATCATATATCTGTTCTGCTGGCGGAACAATTCCAATGAGTTCTTTTATTTGATTTTTACTTTAAGAAATGCATTTGTTACAAAATCTTGCAAAGGTTGTTCAGAATTGTGATATGTTGTAATTAATAAATGTTCCGCCGGCAGAACAGAATCACTTATGGTTATAACCTAGTATGTTTTGATATATGTTTTCATACTTATGTTCCGCTGGCGGAACAATTTAAGACTGAACTATTTTGTAAAATTACTTAATATATGTTTTATTTAATGTTCCGCCGGCAGAACATTTTAGCATTTTTGGATTCTTGCTATCTCGCAGAAAGAACTGCTAAATGTTCTGCTGGCGGAACAAATCATGATTTATTTGTGATAATATGCTGTATTTTTATAACAAAATGAAATAAATTTTGTGTTAAATATATTTTCAGATGAACTTTTTGTTGTTTTTCCCTTAAAATACATCTTAAAATATCCACTAAAATAGCTGAAAATGGCATTTTTAATTGGGAATCTGTGGATAATCCCTTTTTAAAATGGATGGAGTTGTTTACTACTATTTTAAGAATTCAATTGTCATAATGATCGACGATTATAAGTCAAAACTTAACTGGAAAAAGTCAGTAAATCATGGTTAATCTTTCAATTTATAATATTGTTTATTCTTAAACCATATACTAGTACATGTACATTTGTATTTTTCTTTATCATTTTTTAAATTATCAATCAATTGAATAATTCATAAAATCTGATTTGTAACTTTGAATAATTCCTCGGAATCTTTACTAAACACGAATAACAAATTATATAAAATGTTTTAAAGTTGATAGTGTCATATTAATGCCATAAAAATGTACATTTTTTCTCAATTATTGTACATATTTATTGTTTTTATCTCATATAGATAAAATATAACATGGGATTTGTATTGTTGGTTTTTTTTTCGAATTGTATGTTTATGTATAGTAATAATCAATCAATTCGAGAGTTGATCTGTGTTTATTAATTATTGTAACCAAACTAAGTGACAAACAATCATTTTGAAAAAAAGCTTATTTATCTGTAAAATATTTGTTCTGTTCTGTAACGATATCTACCTTAAAACCGGGAGAGACCGGACAATAAACGTGTGGTACTATTCGCCGGTCATTAGTAAATCCCGGAAGAGACCGGGAATTACCGATAGGAGTACATCCCTCTATAAATAGATTTTCGGAATATTTAGGTCATCAACTCATCATTCTATTAACAGCTTTCGGAATAACATACCATAATAACCCACTGTGTACTACAAAATGATAAACGTAATTTGTTCTTAAATTTATTTTCTTAATCACTAGCAAAACCTTAAAAAATTAATTAACTGTACATCTGGAATTTACATTTTTTTTAATGTCTCAAAGATCTAATGCAATTACTTGTTGTAAATTCAACCTTCTATTTTGTATAAAATTTTATACTTTCATTTTAGTATTAGGACAAATAATGAATCAGTTGCTGAACAAAAATAACGGTTAATACTTATCTATGAACAGGAGTTTCAGAATGACATAGAATTTGAGCAAAAAGAAAGGGGGAAATTACACAACAATGAGTAGACTATAAACAAAGGAGAGTACATATGACAAAATGGATGTTACGGGATTGCCAAATCACACTGCTTGAAGGGAAATATCAAACCGCCGTAACAATAAAACATAGATAAGTTCTCCGCGAAAAAGCTTTTATGCCGTTTGGAAAGTCGCAAAATGAAGTATCATTAGCTGGCTAAATATAAAATAGATTTCTGTGTTGATTGCGTTGTCTAGTGTCAGAAGGTTATGTTGAAAGTAAACCTTTTGATTTTGATACCAGGAAGTAGTATTTTTGTAAACTTCCAGTAGTAAGTTACATTCATTTTACAATTTGTTTTCAACGTAAAAAAGGACATCGTCTGCACGAAACTAATTTAACAATTTGAATAGATAATGTTTTCTGAAAATGATTTTGATATCAGAAAGTAGTAATGTCATTTATCTATCAATTGTTTTCAATGTAATTTCTATACAAAAAGACATTGTCTGCACGAAATCAGTTTAACAATTTTAATTGACAATTTATTCTGAAAATGTGTTTATTACACGGTGAGTACATACAATACTTGCATTACGTAAATCGAATGGAACTCTTCTGAGGCATGCAAATATCTAGTGTTAATCCGTTATAGTCATCGTTGTCTTTTTAACTTTGACATAGATGAATAGAAAAGCCTTTATAACACATGTATTATTAAGAAGTTATTATACCTTGCTCAGGTAAATACTAAATTACATTGGACAAGTACAAAGTGAATTATGTTTGACAAGTTAACAGTTGTCAATTGTTATATAATGGCGCACTTTAAATCAACCAATTCCATTTGGCTAATTGTTTACCGAATAGCCATGCACGACTTTTCAGTACGAAAATAATTTGTACACAGATGTAAGTACAACTGCCAGGTAAAAGGCTGAGTCATGGGTGCAATTGGTGTAGTAATGAAAGATAGGCATTTTATTTTTATTTCAGGCAGAAATATTTAAAATATGACCGAACTGTCTAAATGACTAAAACACAGTTCGTGTTTGAACATTGACCATCCCGCATGAAAGTATTTCTATCTTCACAAAAAGCATTTCAAGAGAAGCTTTACTTCAACTGTTTTTATTGGTTTGTTCGTTTTATATTGTTTTTGTTGATTTTTTTTCCGTTAACTTAACATTCTTATTACTTGTACTTGCCTCATGGAGCATTTTATAACCACCCGGTAGCTTTTTGTCACTTTAAGAGGATTGGTGGGAACTATTTTCATTTTGTCTACTTTACTAAAGATATTCATAAAATAGAGAATGCCACTTTCTGTAATCCTTGTTTTGTCATGATAATAGTATCAGGTGATTATATCAAGTGTTCTTATAGTTATACCAGATGTTTCATGAGTATCATAATTGTACTTTAACATAACTTTATATTCATTCATGTCAAAGGCACAAAACATACATTCTACACTCATTATTTGTTCCGACAAAAAAAGCTTACATACTGAGTAAGATTAGTAATTACTGTAAATTCACGTAAAAGAGGTATTATAAAAACAGACATACACCAATAATGCAACATTTGATATGATTGGAAAAGAGTAAACTATTCTTAAACGTTATTTGAAGAGACATTCAAAACAAAAATGATAGGAGAGTAAGACTCGTCTGATACACATATTACAGACAAAAAAACTTATCAAATAACTTGTACATATTTTAAAAACTCAATGCAATGCAAAAATTGTATAACTGCGCCATTCTAAAAGTCGATAAGTGGGAAACATCATCCTTCGGATGCATGGCAGATTTCAAACTAGCTTTTTTGACAAACGGTCAAATAGATGCATTATTAAACATCCGCTCCTGGAAACGTCAGAACATTCCACCAATACAACTTTTCAGTGCCGAATCAACTAGCATTTTCTCATTTTACCATCAATATTGTTTCATATAATAGCGTTTGTCAGAACAGATAAGGAGTTAAATTAAATTTGTTGCCAATATGTGAACCATTATTTTTGTATTTTTTGTTAAGCTGCAGAATTGAAAAAATAACATTTCAATTAAAAATTCCGATAGCAAATAACAAGTCTTATTTACAGTGGAATACAATAATTCTTTAAGAATAATAATGCTTCATTATGTCCTAAAATCTGAAATAAATTGTGTGATTTGGTATCAGCTGACCTATTCTTACATTAACTGAAGCACTTGATATAGCTAGAAGATTACAACAAGTATCTTTTAGAAAGTATTGTTGCATATATATTCGATTGCGACGATTATAATAGATTTGTATGTCATTCTTTAAAAACAAAAACAAAATAATATGGTGAAATTATTTATAATATTTCAAATTTGCATTTAAAACTTTCGCATTCAAAATCTTATGGCGAGTCATGTCAAATGGAAAAAAATTGCATTTAATTTGTGTTCCCTCTGTCTATATCAGATTCTATCCTCCGTGCGAAATCATTTATTGCAGACAAAATACAAAACCAACTTTATCCGATACTAAACTGTGTTGTAAAAGGTCTTTTCGAGACTAACCAATGCAACTGTAAATTTATATACCTCACTCCCTTTTCTGGTTTTATTTGCTTAGTTATCTATACTCCTCGTCATCGTTTTTTACAATATTCCTCCCGGCTTTCACACAAATGTTTCAATGGTGATCAAGCCATTGAACCATGCTTTGTCAAGACAAGACGAAATATGTTGAGTTGCGGCTGCAATGGAATATAATAAGGGTCCTGTAATTGTCCCTTTACATGTAAATGTATATAGTTACCGTTGAAATTGAATTACAAAAGCATACTGTAAAACAATAAGTGAATTAATATAAATTGTCAAAGATTATTAGCTGCATAGCGTGAATGGTACGCCAAAAAGCACATAGACGATAGGTTCGTGAGTAAACTGGGTGTGGAACGGACTCAGATCCATCAACTGGCATGTCATGTGCAAATGTACATGAAAAATAATTAAGGATTAATAACTAATGACCGCAATCATGATATTCATGTAATTTATGTTTTCATTTTGATCTTAAATCTGTGTAAGTGTCATTTCTTAGTTCAAACAAACTTTGATGGTTGTACCAAACTCTTAACGGCTTAATCATCTGACGTCATGTAACAAATTTACACCGACTGTTCGGAATTTGTTTTATGTACCTATCTGGCTACTTACATTGTTGTCCAAAAGTAGAATTATGTGCGTGCCTAAATTCAATATTAAATGCTTATCTATGTATGTTGTTTCATTAAATTTAAAATAATCCCGTTTAACATAGTTAAAGCGTTCT